AATTTTATGGGCAATGTTATTTAACGTGCCCTTTTTAAAGAAAAAGGGAAGGATATTTCTGCCCCAAATTCATTATTCACGATTTTAAAGCTACTACTGTACATTTTTTTTAATACAACCGTATACCATTCGTGACCTTTTAATGAATATGAATAATTAAGTTCAAACCTGAAATAAATTTAAGTTGTTGACAGATGTTAAGAAGTCTGGCGTTTGAAACACATGCAAACGTGTTTCCTTGCGTCACGGTGTTTGATGCTAAAAAAACCATGAGAGAATGATCTGAGCTCATTCTCTCTTGAAAAGACATAGACTTTCTACTTTTCTACGACTTTGTCGCTGAGATCTACAAAAAAAGAACAGAAATAAATGGGATAAAATTAAAATAAAATAAATGGGGTTGTTTTGACAAAATAGACTGAAACACATGGATTCCGGATTGGGATGTAACTGAAAACAAACGGTTGGAAACAGGTAGTGCTGGCTCATTCTCATGTGTTTTTCTTTTTTCTTTCTTTCTTTTTTCTCTTTTTTTTAGCTTTTTTTTTAAATTGTGAATTAGTTGCGTCAATGACGGTAAAAGACCTTTTTTTCCAGTATCATTTTGAGTAGTCAACAGAGTCAAACTAAAAGACGCCATGGATGTTAGTTGTAAGGAGCCGCTTTTAAACCACGCTAAACCAGTTATTGGATCCTACAAAATCATATCTTTAGAGATTCAGTCATTTCGGTCTTTTATGTTTTTACCCTATTTTTTATAACGTATTTATTGGAAGAAGCGCAATGGCGCTAATTAATTTTTTCTACGCCTCAAATGTGCTGCTTGTTTCACCGAGGGCGCCGGTTATTTGAAAGCTGGACACTTGCTTTCATCAGGGTATTATTACGTACCTCTTACTAACCGAGTTCGAGGTCCGTACTGCAAGTTACGAACCGAGTTTTTTCTAGTTGACCAATCACAGCGCGCGTACTTTTCATATGTCGGGTAAATCCCAGAGGATCGGGGATTTACTTTTTGCCGACCGTCTAGAATTTTGCCGATGTATCGGATAATCGTCAGAAGTGTGTCCCAGACTCTCCCGAAAATGAATTTGTCTGGAAATGGAAAGTGCGCCAAAAATTGAAACTTGTGCACAAAAGCGTGATAGGGGGACTGGAGCCCACCAATTTAGAGGACTGGTAATGACCGAAATCCATCGCCGACGTCCACAACGGTACAAATTTGAGTTATGATCGTCGACCATCGCAGAAATCTGGGACGCATCGGGAAAATAGAAACGCTCCCGATTCTCCAGATTTGTGCCCGACCATCCCAGACGATCGGAGATATCTGCGATTTCGAGTTTTCATTAGTCGGCAAAATCTGGGACGACGGTCGGGAAACAGTAAAATCCCCGATCGTCTGGGATTTTCTAGGCATATGAAAACGCAGGGGCACCCAACGACAATTTTCGGAAAATATCTGTTCGGAAGACGATTTGAGATCTAGAATTTGGGAACATTTGTTGTAAAATTTCTTGCTTGCCTGCTTCTCCTAGGGTTTTCAAACATCTAAAAAATGGTATAACTGCCTATTTTTAACGGATTTTAACCCTGAAATGGTCACCTAGAATTTTCGGGAGCCTTTTTTCTGCCGGAATTTTCGAAAAGGTAAGTTTTGATCCCTATAATTTACGGATCGCTAGACTTTCAGCTAGGAAATCCGAACAGATGAAAAATTTTTAGGTGATAAAAATATGCCTATATCTAGCGTTTAAATACTAAAATACACTTAACAATGCTATGTTTAAGTGGTTTTGAACTATATTAGCTCATAATTTATGCGAAAATGATAAGCAAACTTTACACGATTATATCTAATAAACTATGAGATTCATCCCTTTATTTTGGGGATCGTTAAAACAGATGGGTCCTTGCAAGTCAGCAAAACGCTTTAGGGCCTTGTAAATGCGCGCGATTTCGAGCAAAGCAAACATATAAAAATTATAGTTTTAGCTATTTCTTGACGTTTGTCAGCGTTTAAGAGTCTTTCTCACGAAAAAAGCATTTTCTTAAAAATTCGTAGTTTTTTTTCCTTCAAATTTCTTCAGGGCCACAATTGATTAACTAACTACCCGGACTCTGAATTTCATGGTCATTGAAAAACTGTGACATTATCTTCTATAAGCCCAAACTTTTAGGAGGGTGAACCAAGTAGGGGACTACGTGTCCTATTGTTCTCTCCCCTGTACATTGTACGAATCTATAAATAAATAAATAAATAAATAAATAAATAAATAAATAAACTTGAGTAAACATTGAAGATTTTTTAGCGTTTTGGCGGAGTTTGTGCTTTGGGAGTTGTCTATTGTTTCTAGTCTGTCATTATGCAGCGTTCTTGTTCAGCACGCGTGCAATTACCACGCTTGGCTGACTTACGAAAAAGAACTTCTTTTAAGTCCCAAAAATCTTATTTTTGTAAAGAGGTTCACCCATGCTTTTGGTCAAAAAATGCGATTTTTCTCAGTATTTGTTTCCAGTAAAAAAAAAAGGACTCGAAATAAGGTTTAATGATGTTCTAGATAGAAAAGAAACTTGTTTTGACTATAAAAACAAAATTTTTAAACGTCTCAAAAATCACATTTTTTCGAAGGGGTTAACCCATGCTTTTCTTCAAAAAATGGAATTTTTTTCTGGATTTGTTTTTGGTCAAAAAAGGACTAGAAATAAGGTTTAATGATATTCTAGATAGAACAGAAAATTTTTTTTGACTATAGAAACAACATTTTTCAAGGTCTCAAAAATGGCATTTTTCCGAAGGGGTTAACCCATGCTTTTGGTCAAAAAATGCAATTTTTTTTCTTGATTTGTTTTCGGTCAAAAAAGGACTAGAAATAAGGTTTAATGATGTTCTAGACAGAAAAGAAACTATAAAAACAACATTTTTCAACGTTCCCAAAATCATACTTTTTCAAAGGGGTTAACACATACTTTTGGTAAAAAAAATTTTCTCCATTTTTTCTTTTCGGTCAAAATAAGACTAGAAATAAAGTCTATGATTTTCTAGATAGAAAAGAAACTTATTATGACAAAAACACAACAATTTTTCAACGACTCAAAAATGGCATTTTTCCAAAGGGGTTAACCCTGCTTTTGGTCAAAAAATGCAATTTTTTTTCTTGATTTGTTTTCGGTCAAAAAAGACTAGAAATAAGGTTTAATGATGTTCTAGATAGAAAAGAAACTTTCTTTTAGACTATAAGAAAAATTTTTGAAGGTCTCAAAAATGGCATTTTTCCAAAGGGGTTAACCCATGCTTTTGGTCAAAAAATGCAATTTTTTTTCTTGATTTGTTTTCGGTCAAAAAAGGACTAGAAAAAAGGTTTAATGATGTTCTAGACAGAAAAGAAACTTTTTTGACAATAAAAAGAAAAGTTTTCAAAGTCCCAAAAATGGCATTTTTCCAAAGGGGCTAACCTATGCTTTTGGTCAAAAATGAATTTTTTTTTCTTCATTTGTTTTTGGCGAAAAAGGACTAGAAATAAGGTTTGATGATGTTCTAGTTAGAAAAGAAACTTTTTTTGACTTTAAAAACAAACTTTTTCAATGTCTCAAAAATGGCATTTTTCCAGAGGGGTTAACCCAGGCTTTTGGTCAAAAAATGCAATTTTTGTCATTATTTGTTTTCGCTCAAAATAAGATTAGAAGTAGGGCTTACTAATTTTCTAGATCGAAAAAAACTAGAAATAGTACTTACTGACTTTTAATATATTTTATATTTTATTTATGTACTAATTTGTTGAAATGTTAATTGTTCTCTCTTATTGTTTTATGCTGAGTGCTGAAGATGCGACAAGAATTAGTGTTTGGTGATTTTTTAGATAGAAAAAAATTATTAAGTACTCTCCTCCAATGACCTCCCCTCTCCATGGTCTTTCTCCTTCAACAGTGACGAAAAAAAGCCTCTTCTTTTGATGGACATTTTACTGAGTAAGCTTTTCCCGTTCTTTTTCAAGACTCAAAAATGTACTTCGCTTCAGTGTTGCTGATGTTTTATCCATGATGTTCTTGTCCAGTTTTCCTAATCTTCCTCTTCCACTTCCTTACTCTTGTTCTTTTGTTTTGGCAGATAGCTGGAAGCATTAAATATTAACTGTTATAACTCTGTCTCAGATCTTAGAGGGCAACACTAACCAATACAAATCATTTGATTAGCTGTAATGTCAATACTATAAGCATCTGTACCATACAGTGAGCTTATTTGAAAAGAGGAGAATAATTCTAAGGTAAGGATGACAGTTTTATGGGTCCTGGCTGATATTGCATAATTCTTCCAAAATGTACAGTATGTGCAGGGAATAATTGTTTTCTTTAAGAGAAAAAATGTTCTATCATGGCAGGTTTTTGTTCCAAATCTAATGTTATTTCATACATTTCATCACCTTGAGAGTATAGTACCCTGTTGCAGTACCTGTTATTTGGTACACTCATAGAAGGGTAAATTCATTGTAAACAAGGCCAGGAAAAAAAGTGTAAACATACTTTCTCAGAGTGGCAGCAGTAACTGATGAGCATAAATTCAGAATGTTCCTTACTGGGGTCTGTGGGCTTAGCGCTCTTGACCTGTTTCCACTGTACACAGTTTTTGAAAATAAATTGAAAGAAAAAATAATCAGTTTGATTAATTATCTCTGCTTAAACCAAAAACAGGATTGTAACCCTAAGCTTGGCTTACTGTGTAACTAACGTTTGCTGACGTATATAAAATATCCACCAAGCCATTTTATCCTAAAAAAACTTTCGCTTATAAAATTATAAGTTTACAACATAAACTCAGGGCTCATCGATAAAACGAGAACATGACTACAGCCCTGGCAAACAAGAATGTCTAAACGATTTTTTCCGCCTAAAATTGCACATTTCAATTTAAAGTCAAATAAGTTGATTTTCTTTGAGGATAAAAGCAAGTAGAAGGTAGCAAAAACGTACCTGTTCATGCATCCTTGTCTAAAAGAACCGCATTATAACAGGTAGACTTCATGAGCAGGGCAAGCAATAAATTCAAAATGCCAATACTCGTACCTGTTAGAAAATAAGGACAAAAAAACAAAGGAGAAAGGATTAAAATAGAATCAATCCTTTATGTACGGTCACGTCCAAAAATCACTAAACCGAAGGAGATTTTCCAATACAAACATTTCTTTGCAAATTCCCCGCTAGGGGTTGAAAAATAACTTATTAACAGTGAGGCCCTAAGACTATACTCTTTCTTTTTTACCAGAATACATTTTATAAAAATATTGAGGCTGAAATCTGCGAATTTTAAGAATGTCATAAGAATAAACCCAAGGCTGAGATTTTCAACTAGATATTTGAAGCAAGGGATGGCGCAGTGGTGAGAGCGCTCGCCTCCCACCAATGTGGCAAGGGAATAGTGCACTGAGACATTTAAGAGGATGACAAGACTCAATATGAGAGGTTATTCAGATAAAATAACGATCACAAAAGAACATTGGCTTTGATTTGCTTCAACTCTAAAAATATCTTAATGGAGTATGGCTTCTTATAGAAAGCCAGCCATTGCTAAGGGAAATCGTGATAGTATACAGTTGACTACCGATAACTCGAACTTCACGTTAACTCGAACCAAATCGATTTTCCCTGGATTTCCGTCACACATTTACCGTAATTTTACCCTCAGTAACTCGAACCCTCCATAACTCGAACCTCCCGCTAGCTCAAAGTAGTTTTTGTTTTCCCTCAGATCATTTCTATATAATTTTATCCTCGAGAACTCGAACCATGTTTTGAGCCTTTAAAAGTCGGGAAAAAACAGCCTACTGGCGTCCCAAACATTGAATTTTGAATTTCCCATTGACAGGTTGTAGGCATATACCGGTAGTTTACCATTGCAGGCTGATGTTGTTTGCCACAAATCTAACGTGAAACAGCTTTACTTCTCAAAACAGTAAAACGCATGCTCTATTTACTCAAGGTTTTGTTATGTTATGTTCTGATTTATAATCTAGAAGTATCTTTTAATTTTCACTTGACATTTCTACAATTAAGTGTGATTAAAATGTTCACTATGCGGTAAAAACTGTTTTTTTCCTTACTTCCGGCTATTTTTTTCGGGTTCCCGATAACTTGAAACTTTTTCGATTTCCCTTGAAGGTTTGAGTTATCAGGAGTCGACTGTATATTATAAAAGACCTTTCTACGTGTGTAATATATTAAAAAGAAATTCATAACGTGATATACTCGTACCAGCCAAACTATAAAACTTGAAGATACAATAGTTCAACCAAAAGCAGCCATATGAGGTCAGTCAGGATTCAGGATTCCAAATCTCCATCTAATAATTTTAAGCTTGAATTATGCACATACTTGCTTTGACCTGGAAAGACTGAATAAAATTCAAAGCCTACAAAGCCCAGTGTTGTGGACAATATAACACAACAACACTGGAGACAATGAAGGAAAAACATTAGAAATCTAGGAAGAAAATTCGCTCAACCATTACCTGTAGAGATAAAAAGTTTTCGCTTTGGAAAGAACCTCAGTGTGAGGGGTATCTTACAGTCATTTTATTTTTATCTCCACTACAAGTTTCCAATTTGAAAAGTACCCGATGAATTAGAATGGTATCCCTACGTTTCTCTGTTCCCTGATTTATTGTGTAAAATCGGTTTGAGTGTCAGCGGTTTACGCAAAATGCGTTTCAACACCTATACACCCCATCGAATTTCCACAAAAAATCAGTTCCCAAAGAAACCAGGATTCCCGTTGTCCGCGTTGATAATTTTAGTTTAGTATCCCTACATTTCTCTGTTCACTGATTTATTGTGTAAAATCAGTTTGAGTGTCAGCGGTTTACGCAAAGTGCGTTTCAACCCCCATACACCCCGTCGAATTTCCACAAAAAATCAGTTCCCAAAGAAAACAGGATTCCCGTTGTCCGCGTTGATAATTTTAGTTTAGTATCCCTCCGTTTCTCTGTTCACTGATTTATTGTGTAAAATCGGTTTGAGTGTCAGCGGTTTACGCAAAATGCGTTTCAACGCCTATACACCCCGTCGAATTTCCACAAAAAATCAGTTCCCAAAGAAACCAGGATTCCCGTTGTCCGCGTTGATAATTTTAGTTTAGTATCCCTCAACGCCTACGTTTTCAGTCTGTTAACTGATTTATTGTGTAAAATCGGTTTGAGTGTCAGCGGTTTACGCAAAATGCGTTTCAACGCCTATACACCCCGTCGAATTTCCACAAAAAATCAGTTCCCAAAGAAACCAGGATTCTCATTGTCCGTGTTGATAATTTTAGATTGGAGTAATGTGGACTGCATTCTCTTTTAAAAAGAAAGCAAAAAAATAATGAATCATGATCAATAAAGTTGACTTGGTAATCCCAAAGTGTGCTACCATCACCTGTAGAGATAAGAACAAACTAAGAATTTTGCAAAAGTTTCCAATTCAGAAAAAATCAGTTCAGAAAGAACTAGGATTCCCATAAACTCAAAGCACTTACCTGCTGAAATGCCGAGAGTGAACAGCTTTTATATCATTTCCACAGTAAGGCAGCGACAGAAACCCTGAAATGATGACGAAAAGTTGAAATACACGTTGTAGTAGTCTTTTTAGGAGAGCTCCCCGTGCGGAGCCCCATAGCTAAGGAAATCTGCCCATCCCAGAAATTTTGGTAATCACGTGACCATACACCGACCGAGGGACCATCCGTCCTCACCACAGGGAAACCAATGTTTACTCTCACACTTTCTAGCTAGTCTGGGAGTCCAAGAGAAAACTAATTGCACATCAATGTGCAATATGACCGTTTGGTTCGATTCACGATTCTTTGCTTCCACGTTTCAATTTTGGTTCGATTTTTGTACACCTTTTCCAGGGTGCCCTCAGTGAGTTATTATATTGTAAAATCAGAATCCAGAACTCTTTAAAATGTGCATTTTTGATTGACAAGCAAAGACGATAGCAGTCCGTGTGCCATTTTGTGTTGCCTGTAAAAATGCTGTCCTTCAACAACCCCTTGAGAATTTCCAAATAAGGCAAACCATGTGCAACACGCTCTTTGTCAGGTTCTCAAACATGGCGACAAACCAAGCAACTGTTAATCCTCCTGTCCCTGTCACTATTCTCAAATTGAGGGTTTAGGGTTGCATGTTGTTAACATTACGCGTTATATTATAAGAATTAAGAAACAATTACATAATCAAATCGAAATCGAATCAAATCGTTAAGAATATGAATTGTTACACCCCTAATCAATGTTGTGATCAATTGACAGCTGTCAAAACAGGGTATCCGCCGACCAGTATCACCTGACCATACCATGGGCTCAAGTGTCAACCCATCGAGGTCAAGTATTTTTTTGAAGTTATCCGCTGACTTTCCAGAGGGTACCCAACCAAGTTGAAAATTTACGGAAATTGCAGGGTCTGGGGGGCTATGACAAGCACTCCCTACAGTGTATCATGGAAATTCCAGGGGGGGGGGGTCTAAAGTAAACATGCCCTTCATGGGGGGTATGGATATTTTCTGGAAGTGCAGCATAATAGATATGCTTCTTGCAAAGTTCCTAGTGGCTAATTTTTAATCTCTCAGGTAATTTTTATTTTTCCTTCTTGTTTCAACTTTATTAGCAAACACTGTCATACCCAAAAAGGAAAGGAAAACAAAAATTACCTGAGATAAAATATTAACTACAACATATACATAAATACAAAAATTGGTCTAATTCACTGTCTGTCATACAAAGAATGGTATTACATTATTTTGCATCATGCATTCTGCTCGGTATCAAGGCATCAACAGCAAAATGTGTTTTCAAGATAACATTATCTAGAAGCAGTATCTTGCAATGTTACCTACCAGTTCTGCTGATTAAGGCAAGCTTTTGATTCGGGTTTGCATTCAGGTGGCCTCTGAGGATTACAATGTGTGCTTCATGTTCAATTTGCCACGCACAGACATTTTTCTGGAAAATTAAATGTTCCATAATTATCAGACTATAACTTTTACTTAGTATCAAGCCCTAGAACTTCACGGTAAAAATCGTTTCTGGTACCGTGTCATGACTGTGATCTTAAAATTACAATGGAACTGAAATATCAAAAAGTTTTCCAGTGACATTTCCAGACTAAGAAATCAAAATATGCAGATATAGTATTTTCCCACTCGCATTCTTAACTAAGAGAACAATTCTTAAGACTAAACTTATAAATTATAAGAAATTTCTAAAAACGCCTCAGGAAACCCACAATATTCCACAAAAAAAATAAATATATGTTATTCACCGGCTGGGAGGTCAGTATTGAGAGAAACTGTGCCCAAGGTCTTGAGTACGGCCTTGGGCGGTACTCAGACCGAAGGCACAGTTTCTCCCAATATGGACCGACCTAGGCCAGTGAATAACATTTTTATTTTTTTCCTACTGAGATTTAAAAGTTTCAGGAAAATTTTCCTTCAATCTCCAACCTATGTGTGTTGAAGTAGGACACATTTGTGTTGATGAAGCGCGTGATTGACTACAAACCAAAACAAAATATTACAACATGATTTTGGCTCGGTAGTTTATATTATGGCACTTGCTGCTCTCTTTTAGAATAAAAACAGTTTCTGTGTCTTGTTAGACAATTCATAATCTGAGAGCCAAACAAGGATAAAAGAATTGACAAGCTTGATATTCAAAGCCCCAAGAAAAAAATAATGCAAGCATTTTCTTCGGCTGAATAATTAAAAAATAGCTTTAAGATTAGTTCAATCAAGCAGGATGAAAAGTGCTAATTACCCATACCAATTTTAAGGTTTTGAATTGAATTCGAATAAAAGAGGGCGATGTGAGCAACAAGTTATGAAGAAAGAAATGAAAACGGCGATAACCGACTCAGTGCTGGAAAAGTGATTCGTGCTGTTTATGTAAGATTGAACACCCTCTTCCGATAAGTAGAAAACTAATGAGATAAAATTTAAAAAAAAAAACAGCAGAATCAAGATTCCAACAGCAAAAATGGAAGACAAAACTACAAACAGAGCAGAAATGTCCAATAAAATTTATTGGCTATTAGAACTGCAATCTTGCTTTTATGCACCATTTAATGGTGCATGAAAGCAAGATTGCAGTACTTGCAGCGCGGTTATAAAGCTTAGTGAAGCAACATCACAAGCCACCTGTTTTGCTTTACTTTAGCCGTTTTCGTGGCGGACTTGCTTGATTCTCCCTTCAGACTTTTTGTCTGAATAATAAAATTCACTTTTCCCCAGTAAATGCTAATAATTAGCACAAGTTTTAAAATAAAAATGGTTTGAAAATGACAGTTTTTGCTCATTCACAAATAACAAACAAACTTGTGAATGAAGCTGCCAACGATTCCACCTGGGTTAGCGGGCCAGATCGTAAAATACCACCCGTTCTTGGAACCAATCATACTGCAGGATTTGGAGGATTCCACCCGTTTGCAAGCTTGGAAAAAAATAAACAAGGCATATTTCTGCATAATTATCTTAAAAATTTAACAAAGAATGTAATCTTGCAAGGAAAGATGTCTATTTTGTGTGATATATGATATCTATGCAAAACAGACCCGAAAATCGTTCGAAAATGTAGAGCGACTAGGAATTTTCTACAAGTTTATTTTCTGCCGCTGTTACATTATGCTAATGAGGTTAAACCTAATTTGCATAATGAAATTCAACAACTCATGGTCTGCTGTTTACCTTCATAACACACTTTATTTTTCAGTTTTTCATCGAAATATCGGGTTAAAAACAAGCAAACATGAATTTAATGATAGAATTCATCAAAATAAGCAAAGCTTTGAAGGCAAAAAGCTAAGCGAGAAGGAATTCCTCGCGTTTAAAGAGTATCAGAGAGCATGTGTGGAAGACATGGCCGGCTCGGCGAATTGCACGCAAAGATTCTCTGTACTATTTTCTTCCTCAACTTTTGCTTCTTATCCACCAGAATCCTTCAAAATAATTTGCTTCATTTGTATTTGGGAAAATTTGTCTAAACACGCTTTCATTGTTCGCAAAACCCGGAACAAAATCCTTGCCGCATTTCTCAGTTTTCTCAGAGTCAGGATCTCACCAAATTTAAGGTAAACCATTACCACAAGCATTTCTAAAACTACTTAAAACGATACCTTCTACAGTTGTTACTGTTTGATCCACCTATAATCGCTACTAACCTTGCAAAATAGATGAAAAACGAGAGAAAACCGACCATGCCTTCTGCACTGCCTTCCGCCCGCCATCTTTGATTTTGTGCTTTTTAGCTCCTAGGGTCCCAAATCGTCCACAATTCGTGGCCTCCTTGCTGTTGCACCTGACACCTATTCGGCTAACTCAATGTTGTACCCAATTCAAACCCTTTGGGAATAAAACGTTTTGTTTCAGAAATTTCCATATCATTTAAATGTGAATGCCACATTATAAAGCAAATACAATACACAAAGAATCTTAACCCCGGGAGATCTGAATTGGGTACAACATTGGGTTAGCCGAATAGGTCTATTTGAAACTGTTTGAAACGGGTTTCAAACAGTTTCAAACGGGTTTCAACGCATTTCAAACATAAAAACGCTTTGAGCTAAGCCCCCTTTTCCTACTGTGAAGGGTCACAAATAGGTTTTGACACCTTAGACCCCCCGCCTGACTGAGACAAATTTTGGGCGTACCCAAGGGCTTTGTATGAGCATGAGCAACATGCTTTTTCGAAATGAAAATTATTCATACAATTCGCATTGAGCGTTTTTAAAACGTTTTTTTGAGCTTTATTCCAATATATAAAAGGCACTACTGCATTAGGGAGCAAAGTCTGATTCAAGCAACTAAAATAAACGTTAAAATCAGAAAATTGACCTACTTGATCAAAGAAGGCTACTGAAATCGAATCCCCGGCTCTGTCTTAGTCTGATGGTACTCTATGCACTGAAACATTACAGGGCTGTGTAATACTCCAAAACCGAAATTGCTAAAGAGAAAATCGAGATTCTATGTGCTTCGCGCAAGCCTGTGACAGAATATCTAAGCTTAAGAGCACACCAACAGTAACGCAAACCGGAAACTTATAACTTTGTTCGGTTGTGGTGCGGCCAGGTAGATACCATACGAATCCGGGACGAATACAGTACTTTAAATCCTGTAGTACTAAGTAGCGTAACATAAGCACTCGACCAAAAAAAAATTGCGAAACCTTTGCCTAGAAATTTAATCTGATGCACCGTTTCATAAACAGCTTTGAAGTCTTGCTCTCTACACGTTTCTTAGTAAAATGCCGTAACATATAATCTTACCCACAGTAAAGAGGGCGTCTGGAAAAGCCGGAAACCGGAATAGGAACGGAAATAGGAAAAGGAACAGAAAGCGGAACCGGAATAGGAACCGTAATGAAAAGAGGAACCTATATTTTCACATGACGTCACTAAAACTATCCATCCTACTGACATTTTACTTTCATGGTGTGTTAGAGCAGCTGTAAACTAATTTTCGCTTCAAAAGGTTTCTTGGTTTTGTAATAGAGTACGCTTGAATTTCTAAAGCGTTTGCGTGACGCGGCGTTTACATGACGGCCAAGAGAGCTGTCATTTAGATTTAAAAAGTGACGTTTTTTGAGGAATTTTGCTATCTAAACAGTTCAAGTATTAGAAAAAGAATTATTTACTTTAATGTTTATGAGTTACATACAAATATACGTAGCTTAAAGAAAAATTTTGAAGAATTTCAACATCATGTTTTAAGTGAAATGAATTTCCGTTTTACTATTATTGGTGTAACAGAAACTCGTATATGCGATCGTGAAGGTAGTTTTAATTTTGTACCAGAATTACCAGGATACTGTTTTGAATCGGTCCCAACACCTTTATCTGCCGGTGGTGTTGGCCTGTTCATTGATCAAAATTGTAAATACCGCGTCGTTGAACGAGTCTCCAATTCTTGCTATCAAGCCCTATGGATTGAACTTCATCTGGCTAACAATAAGAAATCTGTATGTGGTGTTACTTACAGGCAACACAATAACGCTAATGAGTTTCTAGAATACTTGACAGATTTTCTTGAACGCCAATGCCGTCAAAATCAAAATATTTATCTCATGGGAGACTTCAACATAGATCTGTTAAAATATGAAACTTGTAGTTACACACAAACCTTGCCCCAAACAATGCAAAGTTTTTCAATGTTCCCAGTGGTTGATAAGCCGACTAGAGTCTATGGTAATTCAGCAACTTTAATTGACAATATTTTCATAAATAATCCTGAGAATAATATAGTCAGCGGCAATATCGTGTCCGATACAACAGATCACTTCTCTCAGATGTGCATATTAACGTCGCACTGTAAACCATTCTTTCCAAACAACAAAACTAAGGTTCGTGACTATTCTACTTTCAATGCAAAGTCTTTCATTGACGACTTGCAGAATATTAATTGGAATAATATTTGCAAACATACCGATGCCAATCAATCGTTCTCCAGGTTTTACCAATGCGTCAACAAGACAATTAACAAACACGCCCCTTTAAGAAGTATATCCAATCGTAAACAAAAATTCCTTGCTAAACCATGGCTGACTGCGGGTTTAAGAAAATCAATCAGGGTAAAGAATAACCTCTTCTATACCTCAGACTGTGACAAATACAAATTTTACAGAAATAAAATCATTTATCTTACGAGATTAAGTAAAGCGAACTACTACCAAAGTTTCTTTGATCTCAACATATGTAATATGCGTCAAACTTGGAAAGGAATTAACGAGCTAATTGGAAACTGTAAAAAGAAAAACAAGCGCAACTCAACTAACTCTATTCGCTCAAACCCGAATGAGGTTCCAACTAGTGACCCGAAGGAAATAAGCAATATTCGTAACAAATATTTCGCCACTGTTGGGAGCAAACTGGCTTCTAAAATTCCTCAGACCATAAATACATTCTATGATTAATTAGATCCGCCACTTAATCGCACTTTCTTCTTTGATCCTATTATTCCGGAAGATATCAGTTTAGAAATTTCAGTTTTGCAAGACAACAAGGCCCATGGTCTCTACTCATCTCCAGTTAGGCTGCTGAAATTGGCAAAAAGGGTCATATCCGTACCTCTAGCCACGATTTTTAATCAGTCCATTTGCTCAGGGATTTTTCCATCTAAACTAAAGTGTGCTAAGATTATCCCGATATTTAAGGACGAAGATGACACGCTGCCCGAAAACTACCGACCTATTTCTCTGCTCTCGATTTATAACAGGATTTTTGAAAAACTTATGTACTCCAGAGTTACCAAGTTTGTCAAAGATAGCAATACGGTTTTCGCAGTAAGCACAGTACTCAGCATGCTGTACTTGATATTGTTAACACAATTCTCCAAAACATGGACAACGGTAAATTTTCGTGCGGTGTTTTCATCGATCTCAAAAAGGCTTTTGATACTGTTAACCATGAAATTTTGTTAGCTAAACTTGAAAATTATGGTATTAGAGGTGTAATCAACTCCTGGTTCAGATCATACCTGACTGATCGGAAGCAAACCACGGAAGTTAATAATGTTGTGTCTGAGGCTGAAACGACCTTGTGCGGCGTGCCACAAGGCTCAGTCCTCGGACCACTCTTATTCCTACTGTACATCAATGATATTTACAAGTCCTCTTCGTTATTTGCCTTTTATCTATTTGCTGACGATACTAGTATAATACTTGCAAATAACAACCTAAAGGAACTCGAAACACTTGTTAATCGCGAGCTTGGCAACGTCAACGAATGGCTAAAGGCCAACAAACTGTCCTTGGACATAAAAAAATCAAATTTTGTAATCTTTCGTCCCCGGCAAAAGAATATGCCCTTCATACCTAGGATTAGAATTTTTGACTCCGTGACTAACACCTACGCAAACCTTGAAATGAAAGATTATGTAAAATATCTTGGTTTAATGATTGATTCAAATCTTTCATGAAAATACCACATCGAATCTATCTGTCACAAAATCAGCAAGTCGATAGGAATTATAGCTAAGATTCGACATTATGTCCCGTGTCGTGTTTTACTTTCAGTTTACAACTCATTAATTGTCCCTTACTTAACTTATGGTATTTGTGGTTGGGGAAATTGTGCCTTGACATTTCAAAGAAAGATCGTAACTCTACAAAAACGGGCCTTACGTCTCATCTACTTCAGTAAGTCTAAGGAACACGCCGTACCCTTCTTTCTCAAATCAAATTGCCTTCCCCTACCTAGCATATTTTTCAGAGATCGTAGCTATTTATTGTATGATATCAACAGACAGACAGCACCAGTTAGTATTCTCAATCAGTTCGTTAAAACAAGTCAGATTCATAACTACAGAACAAGATCTGTCTCTAGCGACTCGTTTTATGTTAAGTTCTCTAGAACCGATAAAATGTATGCCTTTTTCACGAGAATCGGTGCCCAAATTTGGAACTCTACTCCGTATTCGATTAAAATACTTAAACGTTCGTCCTTTCGTAAAAAAATAAAGGAATTATTACTAAATTTTTTGCGGTCAGAAGATGATTATGTCGAAGTCTCCCGTCTTATTAAGTTATTTAATACTTTAGGTTAGCCTCTCTTCGGAATCGTTATGTACATGCCTTGTTTTATGTTAGTTTAAATTCTATTTACTGTATTGTAGTGTCTTCACTGTTATTTAGTCCATCTATATATAAATCTTGTTTTGTAATATGTCTTCATCTCCCCCCGCCTCGATTAGTTCATAAGCTATTTGCGGGTGGGAAAGTAATGTAATTAGTTATTTTCCAATTTTCAATAAAATTTGTTGTTGTTGTTGTTTGTTGTTGTTGTTGTTGATGAGTCAGAGCACTGAAAGACAGAAAATATCCACTTCCGGTTTCCATTTTTGACGTCCTGGACGTCAACGTTCTCGTTGCTTAAGGTCCTTATTGCACTTCGGTTGAATAACACCCGGAGGTAGATGAATTGCTGGCTGGGATGTGGATGGAGGGGGGTGGGGGGCGGGTGGCGAGGTACTGTTAATATCCCATTTTAAGTTGGACTGTCTATTCCTGGTTAACTTTCCAATTTAGCACAGTACGATATATACATGTAGCAAACCTGAAGTGTACGGCAGCACGATAAACGTCTCTGATGGGTATCTCGTTTACACATGGGTCTGACAAATAATATTAATATGTTATAACCTCCTTTCTGCGAGAGACAAAAGGAACTTTAAGATCTGATAACGGCAACGCCAGCGAAAACGCCAATGAGAAATTGAATTCGGGTCCTAA